ATAGTTTAATAGGAGGGAGGAAAACATCTTCAACCGTAAAGGAATGGGCAAGGTCAGTGTGTGGGGGGGGGGCATTGTTAGAAGTTGGCCTCTTTGTGATGGGAACAGGAGTCAGTGTGCAGAATGTGACTAGCTGTAAGAGGTAAGCAGCTTCATCCGTGTGTAAGCAATCCTTTCGGTGAGCTTTTCTTGAATAGAATATCAGGCTGTGATGGGATGGCCAGACTGAGGAGCAAAGGAAGAAAAGACTGAGTAGGCAGGGCGGAGGCAGATAGCGGAGGGTTGTCAGTGTTTACGCTGAAAAGGAAGGATTGTTTTAAATATGTTTGTTAATTCTTTGAAAATTTCATATACACATACAATGTATCTTGATCATATTCACCCAAAAATCCTCCCAGATCCACCCCAATACCCTTCCCCGATCTTGGAGTCCTCTTGTCCTGTTTCTGAATTATTTTTATCATCCTATCAGGTTCAATCTGTGCTGCCAAGGTCTGGTGTCCCCACAGCCATACACTCATGGCTGTGGGGCTACCAGCTGAGCCATGGCTGACCAACTAGGGGCCATACCCTTAAAACCGATTGTCCCTCCCCAGCGGCCCAGTGTTGTCCATGGCTGACCAACTAGGGGCCATACCCTTAAAACCGATTGTCCCTCCCCAGCAGCCCAGTGTTGTCCATAGCTCCCCAGTTAGGGGTGGGGTCTGCCACCCCTCTCCCCTCCACACTAGGGCGCTGAGTGGCTTGACCTTGTGCAAGTATGGTGTAGGCCACCACAGTGCCATGAGCTCATGAGTGCCCTGGTCCTGTCATGTCCAGAGGACACTGCCTCCCTCCAGTCCTCCCTAGCTTGGGGCTCCCACAGTCCTCTAGCTGGCTACTCTTCAATCTCCCCTGAACCTTGGGGAAGGGCTGTGATACAGGTGTCCCATTTATGGCTGAGTACTCCACAGACATCTCTTCTCTACACTTTCACAATTCTACATTAACTGTCATCAGCTGCATAAAGAAATTTCTCTGGTAATGTCTGAAAGCCGTGTTATTCTGTGGGTATACAAGGATTCTATCAAACAGATAACATTGTACCTTTGGAGGTTTATAAACTTCAAATTAGAAATGAAATAAGGGTATTTTTGAAAGATTAATCGGATTGGGTAAACATATTGGGATAAAGAGCAAAAGACTTAACTGAAAATAATAATTTTAGAGAATAGTGCCATTTCTTTGAATTCAGGGGATGGGCATGCCAAAGCTGCCTTGAAGCACACACAGACCAATGAAATGAAACATCATAGAAAATGCAGAAAATATAACAAAGAGAAAGGGTGCAACCAAGTAACCACAAGGAGCCAAACTGTCCCTCATGTGAGTAAAGTGGCCTCTAAGAAAGGGCCAGCAGGCACAAAGTGTGCTTTAGCCCCTACCGGCGATCTTGGCCTCCATTGCTCCATCCTAAGAGCCCTGTCTACTGAGAAGCCTGTCCAAACACAGTATTCCCAAATTCATGAGACATCTGCCCACATGCACCCACACTGCCATACAAGCAGGCGAGGGCGCGTGCACACAGCGAGACTGCCATCTTCCCATGGCCCCACCTCAAGATGGAGGTGCAAGCCATAAACTACATTCTTAGTGTACACAAGCTGAGAATCTGTCATGTTGGTGCACTCTCCCCAGAGGACAGGGTGGAGATAATGTACAACTCAGAAAAATTAAATATTTCCAATTTAAAATTTCACTTCACAACTTTGTCTTGGAAACATGTTCCCTACTTAACAGACTACCAGTTTATTATGACTGGGTCAAGTGTAAGTTTTAATTAAGATATATTCCCTCTTTATATAAATCCTATTTGGTATGGTCTCAAGAAAAAGTTGACTGCACACATTTTAGTTTTCCAAATATCCAAGTATATCAAATTATAGTTTGTCAATAATGAAAAATAAATCACAAAACTGATAGGAATTTCTTTTGTACCCATATGGAAATTGCCAGTATAAGGAAAACAAACCACCAACAAGCATTATGTAGATGAAACATGCAAACTATTTCTTTAATACATTTCCATTTTAAAGTGTGTGAACTATCAAATCCCACAAAATAAAATATGCAGTTATACTGAGTTTTGGTCCTTGTGTTTACACAACCCTTCCTACGATCATATTAATGATTTCCACTTGTCAGTAAATTACTACTGTGGGTAATCCTATATAGTGATGCTCATTTCAAAGCACTAGTTCTTGAATTTGGACCCTGAGGTTTATACGCATCGCCGTGACTACTGATCCTCAGGAAGCAGTGTTTTCCTTTAGTGAACACAACAAGCCTTTGCACACATCTACCAGTAGGTGGAGCAGACAGCATAATTTATTACAAAGAACAAGGGCAATGGAATGAAAGTCAGTTTCTTTGGAATAAAACAAATCTGCAAATGAGATTTTCTTCAAAGGAAATATGCCCTGTATGTGTTAGATTTGGTTTGACTGGTTACTGAATCAAAATAAATAACTTTGTTAAATAATCAATCTTTGCAGAAAGATAAATTAAATTTGCAAATGGAGGCATTGCTTGCATTTTATTTTATTCAAATCAACTAAAATTAGCTTTCCTTTCAAAAAATTTTTACAGGGACAAAGACTTTTTGATATGTTCATTTAGTAAGGACCTTAAACACAACCCTGCTTTACAGGTGGCAGGTGCATAACAAATAGTATTTTCTAGGAAATATAATTGACTAACCCTGTTATGTCTGCAGAAACAAATTAACCTTATTACTACTAGTAAATGGTGATTGATTGTTTATGCAAATAAGTCACCATGTTCAGCTTTCTGATTGAAATAAACATATAAAAAAGGTGCTTCACTATGACTTGAACTTTTTAATTAATAAAGCCCTGAGGGGTCTATTAATTCACTCATTGCAATATTAGTTATTTACTCATGTAACTCCTATTAGCACAAACATATTTGCTTGAATAAAGATGAGATAACAATAAAAATTATGAATAGCTTCTAAAACTATTTTAAATTGTACATCAGACCCATGCTAAAATAGGCTTAAAATTAAGTGTAAATCTTAAATTGTCAGTAAATATCAATATATCAGCATAATCAGTCTGAAGTTATTAATTCATTAAGTAACATCATCTATATATGAATTAACAAACACAATTCTGTCTTGATAAATTATTCAGTGTTTTAAAAACATTATTTACCTGACTAACTAGCTACCTATAGCTACTAACTGGTTAAGCTATATTAGAACTATGGGAATCTAATGTCAAAATTAGTATTGTACAATGCATATTATAATATCATTACTAAATTATTGGAATTTCCAATAAACTGCGCTCTCTTCTAAAAATTCTACAGGGGTTATTTTTACACAGTTCAACAAAACTGTTTGTATACAGGTATACTCCTCACAAAAAGTACGTTCACTTCCATTGACAAAACACTAATCTTTTGAAACTGAAGTTTTCTGTGGTAGGCCATCCAGGGGAGTTAACCCAAACAACTAAGAATATTTTTAAATCAAGAGATCAATTTCCACATAATAACCAAGTCATTAAGGCAAGTGAGTGACAACACTCACATAGAAGTATGTGGTTTTGTTTTTTATTTAGGGGAAGTATTTAAAATCCCTTATTAAATGGAACGAAACAGTATACCGCATCAGCACAATCATAAATGAGGCTGTCCAAAGATGGCAATTTTCTCCATTTAGAGAAGTTTTGTGGCACGAGACCGACATGCGGCTCAGTGCTCCTTCTGGCCAAGGATCTGTTAGTAAACACTTGCAAGTAATTGCAACATTTGTGGTGACAAATGGCGATTAAAATGACATAGGAGAGGTCTAGCGGGGTGCAAGGGGAGGCGTGGGTTTCCGTGCATCAGCTGGCAGCGCATCAGATATCATGGAAAAATGAACGGGTTGGACAATAAGATGGTATCAGTCTTCTGTTTTATCACCAAGAAGTTTAACCTGGCTGGGGGGGGGGTACTTTTCTCCACAGGCTCAAAGGTTATCCTTTCATCTCCTTCGTTACCTATAGTTACATATCAAGCTCACCGTTACTGCATATACCAAATAGCCAGAGCCGATAAAATCTCTGGCATTTTTATAATGCTCTTCTCCAAGGAAGAGATTTGATGATTTCACCTGCAATGTCCTATCATCAATGATACCGTGTAAAGAGAAGGTGGAGGGCACATCCACATAGAGATCACTCTGTATTGATCGCTTATTAGTTCCTTGATAACTAGGGCAAACAGAAGAAAGCAGCCAGCTCTCTTCTTTCACTATTAGGGTCCTGGGGCTTGCACCCAGGTCATCAGGCTGGAGGTAAAGACTGTCACCTACTGAGCCATCTCACCAGCCAACTCATGCATCTGAAGACATATTTCTCTGCAAAGAATATTCTAAATGCAATTACTCTTTCTCAGCAACTGTAACAAAATCTTAAGAATAAATGTCTAAGTATTTTCCATTCCAGGTTTATCTCCCGTATGAAGTTGTAATTGCTGAGGCAATCTGTTGAAAAGCATTACCTGACAACTTCCATCAAAAATTGGAAAAGGAGGAAGAGTGGGCTCCTTCTCAGCATCCACTCAATTGAAAGAGAAAACCTGAAACCTGGTTCAGCTTAATTAATAGCCTGCTAGTTCTTGATCCACTCACAGCACAACAACAAGCCGCTTGGAATGAGTTTGAAGGCGAGGTTACACCCTTCATGTTGTGCTGTCTCTGTGGAGGATCACTCCACTGACTTGGGCCTTTCTGTCTGCCGCTCAGTGGCTGCCTCTACGAAGCACTGTGCACTGTCACAGACCAATCACGGTGCCTGCGCCCACCTACGCAGACACATGGAACTGAACGGGTCCTGGTTTTGTGGTATCTTTTCAACAAGCCATGTCCTATTCAGCCTGCTAGTTTATCTCTGTCAGGCTAGGGGTCCCAGTGGCCCACGGGAGCTGCCAGGCACAGGAGGCAGACTGACCTGGTTTGTGCTGAGCAGGTAATGCATCTTGCGGGCTTGCTGCCCTCTGTGCTTCTCTTCCTGTTCCAGGCGCGCCTTCCTCTCTTCTCTGTCTCTCATCTCTGCGAACTCCTCCAGAGCCTCCCTGCATCAAAATTGTCAGCAGTTACTCTGATGACATCTGTTGATTCCCTAATTCTTTCACTGATGAAAATCAAGATTTTTGAGGGGCAATGATCACCCACATCCATCAAAATCAAGGGTGCAATTTATCTTGCCTGTGAATTGTGTGGAAATCTTTGCTGCTGTTAGACAGCATTTAAGTGACTTTTTTTCATGATGGAGTTTTCAACACCAGAAGGGTTCATGGTATAATTAACACAATAGCAAAAGGAATGTCAAAATTCAATGCAAAGTGAGTGGCTTTCTACATCACCAGTTTCCTTTGTTGCTAATTGGCTATTCTGGAGACACTTAAGTATCCCAAGAAAAGATGTCTTAAATTTAGTTTGTATTTACAAATGTCTACTTACTTATTTTGCATACTGATCACTTTATTTTTTTGAAGTACAGATTGTTTACATGCTTAGTTGATTCTACATTTAGTTAACAGTTCAATTAACACCAATAAGATTACATATATTATCCTGTATCTAAAGAATTGACATTTTATTCAATTATAAAAATAATATAAATAGAAGGTTAGAAGTTAAAATCTTTCTAAGGCACGAAAAATTCCACAAAAAATGAAAAAATTCCTCATTTGCGAATACATCTATGAAATTTAAATGAAAAAATAAGCTTTACATTATACTGTGTGATAAATAGCCTCCAAATAGAACATGATATTATCAAATAAGGAAGAAAGGCTATATCTTTTGTTTTCGTTGGACAAATTTATCACTCATGTCAGAGAAGCATTTTAATACTGTTGTTACATTTAAAAATAAATATATATATATAACTTGGTGTCTACTTTCATATGTAAAATTTCAAAGAAATAATCATAGCTTTTGCTTCATATATGTCAAGGAAAACTAGAAAGAGATAGTAAAAAAAAATACAGCATTTTCCTTGCTACCTGAATGTGCTAAGATTTTTGTTGCAATTCCCTGTTCCAGGCTACTAATACTTCACACAAGGTTACTTATGAAACACTCTGACGTTTAAAAATCACCATGCTAGGCTACTGCAGCAGAGCAATTTTTTCAACGTAAGATTAAATTGCAAAATAAATGAATTACTTGGAGTGGCATGGCCCCCATTTTGCCACCCTTCCCTTGAAAATTGCTTATTAATATGAAAAAAGGAGGCAGAAATAGCCTGTTTTCCTTTATACATGCGAATTGGGGGGCTTCTGCACCCACCAGCCTGGGCTAGCTGCACATTGAGATTGTGTTGGTAAGCTGGGACAATGACCTCCCTGACTGCATCTCAAGGCTATTATTAATCGCTAAGTAACCTGGTAAAGCCAAACAAATTTGTTTCCATTGAAAGCATCTCCGTCTGTGTCTGTGAATTTGTTCTGTACCAAACAAACCTCATTAACTGTGTCCACTTTTTGACAAAGAACCAGGAGTTAGAGGAATTGGTGACCTTTCTTTGTCCTTAAGGTACACATTTCAAGACAGTTACACATGAGCAAATGGGAATTTTTACCAGGAAAAATAGCAATCATGTTACACAAAAAGTAAGTGCGTTATACATTTTAATCTTTACTTTTATTGCCATGTAAAGATGTTAGAGTGAAAAACAAGTAGTTCCTCCATGATTCCTCCTATAAGCCTTTGAGATAATTTAGAACAAGTGAAGGTACTTATTATCCTAGTTTGCATCATGGAGAAACAATCACAGATAAGAATTTATCTAATAGCCAGAACAGATGAGAACCTGGACTTTCGGGTTTCTGGCTGCAGAGGAGACTGCAGTCCTCATCCATCCAGACATGAGACAGACAAGATACTTTCTACTGAGTTAGTCACACATGTCTTCTTTCATCTTACAGTCCTATTTTTCTACTGTAGAATATACTTGGATTTTCTGCAACATTTTCATGGTCATAGAATATTCTGTGATAGTACATCCAGATTAAAACTACTGTAAATACTAAGATTCACTTTTGATACATTTTTAGCAATGGTATCTATAGTGATAATTATTTACAACTTCTAGAATGACAGTGATGATAAAAATAAAAGTAGCCACTGGGAGGCAATATAGTGGAGTAGTTAGGAACGTGCTCCACAATGACCCTGGTCACACAACCTGCACCATGCTGTTTGCTCGCTGTTTAACCTCTGACCTTCAATACCTTCATCTAGAAAGGGAAAATACACTAATATTACCATCGTTCTCATTAGGCTATTGTGAGGACCAGACAGGCTGAATCTATGCAGAGTATTGCTATGCAAGCATTAATTTTCTTCAGTACTGCCTATAAACTAGGTGCAAGGCTACTCACTTTATTTGCTGAAGATTTTTCATGCTGTGTCTAAATCTTTTGGTGATATTCCTTCTGATGAGTGCATACTGTGTATGTACAATGTCACAATGAAGAACACAGTACCTGGCTTCCTAAGAGGCATGAGACATGAGCAAAACTGTCACCAGTGGAGAAGAGAGAAAATAAACTTGTAAATACAGCTCTCTTTCCTCTGTCCTCCTCATATTACATGGCAGAGCTGTTTTGCCTTGAGGAGAGGGTTCACCTTGAACCTGGAAGACAGCTGTGTGGCTTACAGATGGCCGGCATGTCGCTAGGCTCTGTTGCATCACTATGGGGCTATACGTGGAGGCAATGAGCAGAGGGGCTGCTTACGGCATCACAATGCCCGCACTGGACCAAAGCGCCCTAGCCTGCAGCTGCCAGGAGTGCGAGGTGCTGATTGTTGCTCGAAACCGAACTTCATAACTCAAAAGCATTTTCTCGTAACTGAACAGAACAGGGGAAACTAGCTTTGCTAACAAAAGCATTTTCTCGTAACTGAACAGAACAGGGGAAACTAGCTTTGCTAACATCTCCTTGCAAGCTGCATTTGTTGGCCAAGGGAGGAAACACAGGCTCGGAGCCTTTGCCTCAGTGTGGAGCACTGTAACGGGCCATCCAAACCCCAGAGCTTCCTAAGACGCTGGCACCAGTGAAGAGCACTGAGCCCTGCTCTCTCTTCCCCACTCTGCCGGCTTCTACTCCTTACTCATTCACAAGATGAGCTTTTCCAAGTCTCTTTCCTCACGCACACGCTCCTTTTCTCACCTTTGCTGCACTGATCCTAACGATCCAAAAAGTCCCAGCACTTCAGGCTTTGTTCCGCTCTTAGAAAATTCCTCAGTAAGATAGACTAATTCATTTCTCTTTATGTCTTATTAGAAAAAAAAGTCCCATTGGACAGACTGTATCAGTCTGGCTTCACAGATTAGGAGATGAGATTCATAGATAATAAATCTCCATCAAATACTCACAATTAGAAAGTGGAATTGGAATCCAGGTCTGACTCCAAATCTATGCCTTTAATCATGATGTTAAATTCATATGTATTTTGCTTAATTTAATCTTTTATTTGGATGCTGATAGGATTTTCCTGAGAAAGTTCCTGACTATCATAGTACCGACACTATTTTTCAAAGCATACACGAGGATGAAGACAAGTTTGGAGATAGTTTAAGTTGACTACTCTTTCGTCATCAGTTCACAGCAGTAGAAGTAGGTGGCTACACAAACAGGGAGCATGATTTTGATGCACAGCTACGGGTCTCTCTTCCTTCGGCTATGCTTTCCACTTGCTACTTTAGATAAGGTGGAAATGGCAGGATGCATGCTTCTAACTTTAAAAAGATGATGGAACTGAAAAGAGAATAAACTGTTACAAGGACTTCGAGGCTAAGCCCTGGCTTCTGCCCATCCTACTCAACAGTGCTCCCCCAGGCATCACCATGGTCTCATCTGGTTCCATCCTAGCACACCGACAGTGCTCCCCCAGGCATCACCATGGTCTCATGTGGTTCCATCCGAGCACACCGACAGTGCTCCCCCAGGCATCACCATGGTCTCATGTGGTTCCATCCGAGCACACCGACAGTGCTCCCCCAGGCATCACCATGGTCTCATGTGGTTCCATCCTAGCACACCACGAGGACCTTCACACACAATCCATGCATGCTCTACGTGCAGCATCCTATACAGTGTGAATTCTCCCACTGTGCTTCTCCTTCATACACTAAGAACAGTATTACAATCATATATTTATGCACATGCTTACTTGATATATGAGACTTCCACTAGACTTCAAACTCCATAAAAACAAAGACCCCCATCTATGTTGTTCCTGTCTATTTGAATGAAGAAGTGAATCTACTTTGTAAGGTAGTCCTGGATAGTAGGAATATTGTGACGAGCACAAGCTTTTAAAAGATTTATTGTCTCCATGTAAGTATTTAGTGAATGATGCCAGAAACTCCAGGGAAGCCACAGACAGGTGAGTTCACTAGCCCCTGAATCTTGAACCTGCATAAGCTGATATTACTTCCTTTCTGCAGTTCAAACACATTGTTTCTCTCTCTACAATGACTTGTTAACTTGTTTCTTGATTTTTGCCCAAAATCTATGCCAAAACTAGGAAAATATTTCCCACAAACTGTCTTTTGAGAAACAACACTCTGCTCAAAATTGTTTCCACGAGCAATCCATATTAAAGATCTCATGGGTCCTGAGGATCAGACTCAGTTATCAGGCTTGGTAAAAAGTTCTTTCTTGGTTCAGAGCCAATCTCACTGTCCCTCAAGTATCCTTCCCCGTTCTTTCAGGAAGGCTTCATTAACAATGTTCAGCTATTTCCACCACCACAAGGTTTGATTCTTCACTTATAGGTGTAACACATTGCACAGCACACTACAGCTGCATGTGTGCATACATACACTTGAAACAGTCCTACTAAGTGCTCGGGAACTGACCTGGACTAAATGCGTATGTCTAATTAGGAAGTCTGTGGGGAACTTGAGGGGAAGGTCGGGAGTTAGGTGTGATAGTCCTGAGAAAGCCAAAGGCAAACAAAATAAAGCGCTACTAAATGCTTCTTTCCAGCACGGAATTGGAGAGGTTTCACAGCAAATCCCTGAGGTTGGCCGTCATTGCAGGGTATTTGTATTATT